TATATATATATATATTATATATATATATATATACTCATTATACATCTAATGAATAATAAATTTTATATACAGAAAACATAAATATCATTATTATATACCATCAAATTAATTTGTCATTATTCACATATAGCGTCTAATCCGTATAACAAACTAAGATTGATATTTCAATTGAAACTTCCGTTTCTTCACATATTAGAATTAAAGCACGTTTTCTAGGTGCATTGTCATCGCAAACCTTCGATTTCGCAGTTTTGTTGTCCACACCGAGGGGATTTAACGTTTAATGCATATCGAGCGATTTTTGCCTGTTTATCGGATTTTCGCGACATTATACGGATGCAAATGGCAAGATGAAATTTAATCGTGAATAGTGAATTCATGCGACGCCTCCGCGCACGATTAAATTATTTTGATCGGACAGCAAACAGACGGGAGACGCGGTAATGCAGACTTCTCCCACGTGTAAATATTAGGGCGAACAGATAGCGTGATGAAGGATACGATCGCACGTTGCAATACCGCGAGGATGTAGCGCGTCGCGTTTTCCACACTAACGCGGAGCATATAAGTAATGGGTAAGCGATGTAATATTTTTGAAATTTTTCAATTAACCTTTTCAATTAGCCTTGAAATGCGTATAAATTTGAGACGAAGGAGAGATCCAACTTTTTTTTCCTCTATTTTCTTAGAAAACTCGAAGTGAAAGAGAGGAAGTTTCTCATCCACGATTTATGAATAAGAGAATATTGCGAAAAGAACTATGGTCGACTTTTAGCACTTTTAGACTTTAGAAATCACAGTCAAAAATCCATGTAAAATATATATATATATATTTCTATAACAACACAAGTAAAGTACATGTAAGTACTGATTGCAGAAATTATAACTTTAAATTATAAGATTAAAACGAGACCTCCTATTGGCCTCGCTGCAAGCGCGATTTAAGCCACCGATAAATCTGCGCGAGTTGAATCGCGGGCCCGAATCTCTCACTTTCGAGAGATTATTTTGTGCAGCCACAGGACGTCATTAAACGACGGCGTTATGATATTATAAGAAATAAATTCGCGGACCCGTTCGCGTATACAATTCCGGGGATCGTTCGGGGGTTTAACGCATTTCGGACGGCACAATGAACGGCGATCTCGGACGCAAAATTGCAATTGGAGGGGGGGGGGGGGTGTGCTTACCTATATACGATAATTTTGCCGAGCTCGATGATTAACGGTCGGCAATCTCAAAAATGCGACGGCCGTTATCGCGTGCGAAGAACGTAGGCGGCGGCCGTAATAAGTCGTCCATCTCGGGCCGCTAATAATTCTGCAGCTGCAACCCCGATAACCCCCGAAATTGATGAAATCGGCCGGCGCGGCGCGAAGACGAGGGAGAGGAATGGGGGAGGGGGCGAGGGCACATGGCATGCGGGGTAATGCGGAACCGCAGTTTCTACGAGGATTCCTCGGCGGCCAATAAATTATCCGCCCGAGTACCTACTTTGCCTGGCCGTATCTATCCGCGCGGAGGGCAAAGCGTAAGGCAAGCCTGTGGCTGAACACGCCGTTAAGACGAGTGCCTTACTGACTTCGCAGCCAGTACATGCAGTCGTGGCACAAATTGATAGCCACCGGATTGATAGCACCATTTGCCGTTATTTGTTAAGAATAATAGCACACATGTCTATTACTCTTCCCGCGCATCGCCTAGTTCCTAATATCCTAATAAGAGGACGTCAATCGCGAATTTGGAAATTATTGCTCGATGAGAAATTTCCATTTCTATTCTATAAAGGACCACCTCAATGCTATCTATTATATTTTTTTCTTTTGTATTACATGTTTTGACTGATTAATATTACTTGTCTTATCTGTATCCCATTGTCAACTGAGAATTTTATGCATCATTTTATTATGTAATATCGAATTTAATATTAACAGTTTCATTCAATTAATTAAGCGTGAAATTAATTTTTTTTAATTTCTCTTTTTTATTGAGATTAAAAAGCAAAAAAAAAGTACAGGCCCAATGGAAATGTATGAACGCGTTTATTAATTAAAGCTGATTAGAATTATTTCGGTTGACTGCGGGCAATAAAATTGAAAATTAATCACAATGAATAAATTCGTAAATAATATTCTAATATTCATCGTTTAAATAGATATTTAACGTTTTCGATAACAATTATTTCATCTTCGCAAGAAGAGTTTATAGCCTTTACAATTCTTTTCTAACATCTTTGACTGCGTTTAAAGTTTCGCATTTATCATCATAGGAAACACAATGACGCGTTAATAGGTACTGGCACTTCCATAAGGATCTTAGCTTACTGAATTTATAGAATTCCGACAACAGCCATTGTCCTCTTAAGCTAATAGTTCGTCTACTGGGCGATGCGAAAGTTTCGAAACTAGATAATTGGCGCGCTGGGTAACACGATAAACGCATCGATGCAATTATATTATGTCTGGCTATTGTAAACTTTCAGATTTACATGGACGTTTATCTGTATATAAGTATATTTCACTAATTCGTAAATCTATCTTCTCGTTACAGGATAACGCTATTTGTAATTCTAATCATCGACGTGAAAGAGATTAGTATTAGAATTAGATTGTATCGAATTCTACATTATACGCACACATTCCACTAAAGATATCATATTTTGAAAATGTCAATAATATATAAAACTATAATTACTGCGGTTCTATATTTGCAGCGAATTCCTTCCTCTATCTCTGTCAGATATATCAATAAAAGCCACCCACGCCATTAACGCATACCTCGACAGTGCAGTATCGTGTTCACGCCTTTGCAGGTAATATCCGAATACTGCCGGACGCGTCTACAAGCAAGGCCCTTTACGCATATAGTAATGGAAATGTACCGAGAAGTCGTAAGATCACCTCAATACGCCGCGCGCAAACGAGCGGCCTATTACCAGCTGAATGCCCTGTGCCCTGCTCGGAATACGGTCGATCATCTGAATCAGCAAAAAATCTACGGTCATCATCATCATCATCATCATCATCATCCGCAACGACAGCAGCAGGATCACATCCAAAGTGCGAATGGTCAATTACCGTCTTTTCAACATCAGGCTCATGTCGGGCAACATTTGTCGAGTCAGCTAACTGCCCAGCAGCAACAGCGGCAACCGTCACACGATTACGTTCAATCTTCGGCAAATCAATTTCGCTCGCTTAACCAGCAGCAGGATCACGCCCAGCAACCGTTGAAGAACGATCAATATAATCATCATTATAATTACCAGCGTGTGAAAGGGACTCATTTCAGAGCACAATCACGTAATTCTCAGTCGCATCCCAATCTGGCGAGTTTGTGTGACTCGCAGCAACAGCAACAGCAGCAACAGCATCGAGAGGCCACTCTCAGTGTCTGCAGGACGCAGTTTCAATCGCAGTTGGATATCCAAAGCGGTAGCCGATCGATAGGGCCAGCGATGACACGTCGAGCTCATCATCACTCGAGAACGTACTCGCAGCCGGTTTACACGCGGCTCCAACACACGAGGAGTAGCGGCAATCTGCCAACGACGACGAGCACGATGGTTGACGGTAATCCTGATGGAAATGTTTATAACGACCCGATATATGCCCTACCGGTTAAGCCTTTCCTGAGCTCCCAGGATGTGCGAGTCAATGGAATGTCGGCGAAAACTCCCGCGATCTATCACGATGACGATGTTTACGGTGGTTCGTCATCGATAAGCAGGTACATATATGCTGAATATCATCTTACTTGCGCCAGAAAAACTAATCAATTTTAATTGTAATTTAATTTCCTATAAAATTTGCATAATGATCTATGTCGCCATATTTGAGCCTCATTAAGCTGGAACTTCCACCGCAATCGCAAATCGAGATCGCATCTATCAAAAAATTTAGTGCTATTTATGTGCTCATTTGTTGCTGCAGTCTGAATTTTGTTGCTTTAATCATTTAGCAGAAAATCACGTTCAAAGCGTGTTGGGGTGCCAGCTTGACATCCTTAAACTGGATTTCCCATAATAAAAAAAATATACATGCGTATCGCATAAAAAAAATACACCAGAAATTATTGCTAATTTGTTACTCCATCATAATGCAAAAACATATCAGAAATTTGATACTTTTACGAAGTAATATTAGTTTACAGAATACCGTACAATCAAATCTGGAAGAAATACGAAAGAATTAAAAATAGAACAACTAATTAGCAAAAAAATAGTGCTATAAAAATATGTATTTATTTTTTAGTTTCCTTTTTTTTTATGGCTATGCTAACTTTGATCTTATGCTGGCACAGCATAAAGAAAAGAAGCAGGAAATTAAAAATAAATATGTATTTTTGCAGTGTTGTACTTTTTCGCTAATGAGTTGCTTTATTTTAGATTTTGATACGATACGCTAATATATTTTTTTTATTATGAGGGTTCAGCTGAATAGCCAGCAAGACTTTCAACTTTGAACGCGATTTCCTGCAAAACGGTTAGAGCAACAAAATTCTAACTCTTCTTGGAGCAACAAATTAGCACAAATAAATAGCACTAAATTTTTTGGTAGGTGTAAATTCGATTTGCGATGGTGAGTCCAACTTAATAAATCTATATTTGTTATGATTTTATAATTGGGTTAAATAAATTCAATTTTTTGATTGTTTCATCATAATTATGAGAATGAGAATTTTATAGAACTTATACAATCTTTTCTATTACAAAAAATCTTGAAAGAAATAATACATTTGAATACAGATGTTCTCTAATAAATTTAAAATCGTCTTGCTACAAGTTTTATAATTGTAACTAATCTAGTCCTAAATAATTTTGCTAAAAATATAAATCAGACACAAATTTACTTTATAATATTATATAGTACGCATATTTAATTTTCTTATTTATATTTAATTTATTCCATTTTACGCGATGTCCCTTTCTCATTCTGGAGAAATTAAAAATGCGTTAAAAATGCAAATTTAAAATAGGCATCCTTCGAACACCGGTCACTCTCAACCCGACGTAACCTCGCAACCAAACGAGCGTCTTCGCGAGGATTTTTATGGACGAATGCCTCCGGGAAGGGTATCCTTGCAAAGGCAACACTCGAATCCGCAGCTGCCAAGCAGAACGCAAGCTGACGAGGATTTTAAACGGTTGTCACAGCCAAGCGTTGCAACAGCCGAATCTCGCATCGCCGTTACGCGAAAGGAAGAACAGACAATACGGCAACAAAATTCGACAACTTGTATTAGACTGAGAGGACTCCAGGGACCTCCAAAGCCACCTCGAATTATCACCACCCTGAGAAAAACTGCTCTCTCCGATTCGGAATGTAACAGCCATACGGAACCACCAGCGAAACCACCCAGGTAGGTGTTTTTCTTTCATTTCGTATCATATCGTAATCAATTATCTGTATTATTATTTACTATTACATCAGCTTTTTATGCTAACGAGAGAAAACAAAAAGTAGATTATTCGCTGAGTAACGAATTGTGCATTATTAATTATCAGAAAAAGCGTTCATTCCCGATGCAATTTATTATTTCGAGTCGCTACAAACCGTTTGGGCTGTTCGAATAAAATTTTAATCAATGATCAATTTCGTTTGGAACAATTCGTTCGGAAAACAGAGAGAGAAAAGAGTTTCTAATAGTACTTCCATTCCTTTAATTAAACATTCTCTTATTTAATCCTCCGGAAAGAAAAGTAAAAGAATAAGAAGAATGAAAGATAGTCTCAAGTGACCTCAGAACTTCCCTGCAACGTGACAAGCAGACTCGCAATTTTATGTAATGATAATGTTGGGTCATCCGAAAGACGCGAATAATCCAGAAATTTATATTTACTCCCTTGAAATCCGTACTTTCCCGGCTGGAATATCATCGATCTTGCAACGAGAGTGGGCGTTTAAAAGGCAAATTAGGACACAAGGGGAACGTGAAAGAGTTCCGCGATCTTCGCGCGAGACCCGCATTATTAAGTTTTGCCCCCTAGTCGTATGTTCGTGTTAATAAACGCTTACTAATAAGCGCTACGAGCAAACGCTGGGCTTGCTCTTACAGAATGACACCGGTTTTCCTCTGACATAACGTGATTTCGAGGAGCGCAGGATACACTCGGAGCGCACGAAACTAGCTAGATGATGCAGCCAATCGCAATCGAATGCATGCCGATCGATTGTGTTCTGCCTCCACGTCGATTGTGGAAAGACCGAAATACGGCGTGCCGCGGTGAACTTTGACTTTCGTGAGAGTTACGAAGCCCCAGGCTTTATGATGATATTTAATCGGGCGGAAATAAAGCAACAGCGTGTACGCATAGTTAGGTGGAAAATTTATACACTTTTTATATCTAGAAATTATAAGTTGGAATTAACATGATTAAAAATTAAAATTGCATTTGCCAGAGTTTGTAATTCTTTAACAAAAAAATGCCTATGATGTAAAACATTTGCTACAATGATTTTTAACGGTCGATTCAATCTCTCGAATAATTAAAAATTCTTAACTAATTAATATAATTAATAACAAATTATTTAATAAAATATTGAGCAGTGTATTTTAAATTTGTCAAGCTTTTTCATCTTGTCTCTAGAAAATTTATATAAATTTATATAAATAAATAAATGCTCTCTTATATTTTTTTCACAATCTTTACTTTTGCTACTCTCTCTCATAGGCATTACATTCCCGATGCATCGTAAAAATTGATTTGGAGTAAACACATCCTTTTATTTCGATGTGCTTTTTCCACGCCGAGTTCTCGGCGCGAAATGATAGGGGATGGAAAAGGATAGGATAAGAGAAAGACAAAGAGGCACTTAGTGATGACTGCCCTAAAAAAGCATCCGGAATCTACCCCAGTTAAAGTTTAATTAAACTCGGTGCGAGAGAGTTCGTTAACATCGCTGCATATAGCAAGATCGTCGTTTCACGTGATGTCTGCGAAATTTTACCATAGGCGTTCCGGTTCACTGCATAATTAGGTGCATCTCGATCTGTAATGAAAAGCTTCGTTTGTCTCGATCCATATTAATCATGTGGTCAAGGAAAAAGATGAAAAAAAAATTAAATCAGTTTCTTCAACATTAACTCGTCGTTAATGGATTACATCTGACATGTACTACAAGTTACTGCATTTTTGTGTCATAATACATTTTTATGTTAATTTGTATATTGTTATATCTAGAACACCGTGTAAATATATTTATAGAATTATGATAAGAAATGGACCAAGAGCACGGCGGGGAAAAGCAGTCCAAAGAGCACCATCGCGCCTGTATAGAACGGTGGGTGGACCCACGAGGTGTTTCAATAAGGCACAATGTGTGGGTCCTGAATTTGTAGTTCGTGCCAATCAGCCTCCGAAGACACTATGCGTAGGTCAAGTTAAGGTATGAAAATAAAATCAAATAATTAGAAATATAGACGTAAATGATTTTGAAATTTGATATATGTTCA